TGGAAGAATTAAGATTGAGAGGAATCTAGTCATGATGGATGTTAGCTACTACTACTTTCAGAGGACCACAAGTTCGGTATACCAACTTGGAACAATGATGCGAAGCACAAAGAGAAGTATAGCTTCTTTTTGATTGGAGTAAACATGGTTGTTGGGTTGAGCTCACTCTGGAAGTGTTGTTTGACATAGGCATGCATGTCTTTAGAAACAATGCTCATTCCAGGTGGAGTTCCGAGAAGGTAGTCAACTGATGCCTGAACCAGGCGTGGGGCCCCTAGAGTCAACTTTTTATGTGTTAGTAAGGTGATGGCACGAGTGGAGTAGAAATCTACAAACCTCGTAGATGGTTTCCAAAGCGCCAGGACGTTGGCTCACAATGACTTGGCGCTTGTGAAAATACTCCTTAATGTGCTCCAATGTGAACATATGAAGGAGAATCTGTGTAACGTATGTTCGAGTTGGAGAGATAACATCTGGAAAGAGATGCTGATTGAGAAGCAATAGCACTGACGATCGCCCAGAGATATAGACAGGAGCTCCCATTATAACCAATGGCTGGAGGACATGTTCCCAAAACTTGTAGAGGATGCTGATTGAGTCCTCGTCTGAGTGGCTGTTTGCAATGAGATTGTCTATCTCATCGAAATGGAAGAAGAAATCGTTTGCACGCTCCAGCGAATTGATGATGATGCTCGCTTGGTCAGACGGCAAAGGGCGAGTTGTGTTACCGACCAACCTGTGATATACTCTGAACAACGCGTCGGCAACTGCAAGTGACCATGTTTGTGCAATGTCTTTGGACGAATTTGACTGGACCGTGATGGCTCGGAGGTCGAGAGTGATTGACACCAGTGATGTGAGACGTTTGAGTGCCTCAGCAGGTTTCATAGAATGAGGTTGTGGCCACTGATTGGGGTTCTTGTCAAAGTGGGCAAGGACCATACCACACAAATCGGGTCGGCTCTTCATGGCATGAATAAAGTGCTGGCCGATTGATGTCTTACCTGAACCCCACATCTGTGACGTAGATATGATTGGAAGCTTGATGTTGTTCATCGAACCAAGTGGCACCCCTTGAGTCGATATAACCTTCATGCATTCCGTTGCCATGAAGCAGAGCTCGACTTGTCTGTCTGTGAACGGAGTGTCCTGGAGCTGTTCATCAGTGAGGTGAGTGTCGTACATCTTCGGAGTGAAATGGTACACTACGATGATATATTAGTATAAATCGATCTCATCGCTCTCACTTCTACTTACACGCTTGGCCACCACCTCCTCCTGCAGCGCCGGCTTGAGTGTGTATGTTAGTATTGAATGAAGACATTGCGAGATGTTGTTTGTACTTACGAGCTGGGGCTGGGGCAATGAGACCTTGAGAGAACTCCAAGAGCTCATCAGGGGTGAGAGACAGGATAAGAGTTGCTTTGTTGTCATCTCCAACAATCGCTTGCTTGCAAGCCAACCTCTGAGGAGTGGACAATGCAGATTGGTTGATCCTTTCAATAGCTTGTTGTTGAACTGATGCCATGGTTGTGTGAGTGTAATAGTTAGACAAATGTTGTATGAGGCGAGGGTTGTAGTATTTGTTGATGTTGTTGTGGTGTGAATAATGAATTGAGTGAGCATCAAAGTTGTGAAGGTGGTGATATGGGATCTGTTCGTCCCATTTAGGAAACTCATAAACAAATAAATAAATAAATTCAAATTAAACAATTTATCTCTAATAGATATAACATGTCATTATTCAAAGAGTACTATTGGGACGAGAACTCAGAGTTCAGAGAGCGTCACAAAGCATACATCAAACAAAAGGTAAGATGCGAGTGCGGCTTCGAGGTCGGTCGCACCAATCTCAGTCGACACAAGCAAGGCTACATCCACAAGCAGTTGATGGCCAACAAATAGGTTCAAAGTGATATAAATTAACATCTCAATGTTAATATATAGAATGAGTAGATCAACAAGAGACATTGGCGGCAGACTGAAGAAGACGGGCGTGACCGAGATCAAGGTCACCGGCAACTACTCTCGAGCAGACATCGAACGAATCGCGCAGCGAGACAGCAACACGCTCCAACGCTACGGCGCCAACGCCAGGATAGAGGTCGTGCTCGACTACGGCAACCATCAGTATCGATCAGGCAAGTTCACCAAGGTAGGCGATCCCATCATCATGTTTGATCCTCACGAGTATGATGCCAGAGCCTGACACATTCAAATCGTTCTACATCTACGTACATCAAGCAAAGGGCAAGGCAGGAGGCTGCGACGGCGAATGGAACAACTGCCTCTATCACTGCCTCCACGATGCCTACCCAGAGCAGATCACAGAGCACTTTGGTAAGCCATCGCGCCTCAAGTTCTTCCTGGAACTCAATGTCGATCAGAAGGTCTCGATCAAGCGGATCCCAGAACTCGAGGAGAGACTCAACATCAAAATCAACGTCAAAGGTGATCATTGCTATGCCTCGGCATCAAGGGCAACCAGAGAGGTCAACCTAATACTAACCAATGGACACTACAAGCTAGACAAGGAGGGCACCTATGCAGGCAAGGGCATCAGATACACTCGACACAACGAGAGGGACGTCTACATCAAGCCAATCGTATTCAAGTATCTCAAGGGCGATCGGGTCCAGCTCTACGATGACGACGAGTACAGCACAATAACATTGCAACAGCTCATCAACAAGAAGAAGCGCAAGTACCAAGACAAGTGCGAGTACATCCGTATCCTCTCTGGAATGACTCTCGAGGAGACATTGGACTCGTTCAAGGCCGACGCCGACGCGCTCAAGGAACACACTAACGGCGTCATCGACATGTACACAACTGGACAGAACATCAACAAAGCAGCGATCAAGCTGTTCCTATCGTACAACAAGACTGTCAAACCAGAGCCCATCAGTCAGATGGAGGGCGAGTGGATAAGAAGTCAGCCTATGGCCCATTGATGATGGCAATTCAACATATAGGAGCTCTCTACAAGTATGACGTCGCTAGGATGTATGCATCCATCTTGAGGAGCAGTGGCTTCATGATCCCAATCAAGTGCGGCGAGTTTCAACATCTGACCGACGAGGAGCTGAGCGCAATGAAATCAATCCCATATGGTATCTATCGCGCCACAATCAACGGCAAGCACGGCGCATTCAAGATCAACAAGAACGACTACTACACTCACTACGACCTCATCTTTGCCAAGGAGCTAGGACTGACATTCAATCTCAAGACTGGCAACAAGTCGAGGAAAGGAGACTTGGTACAAGGAGGGGTTTTAGCACCGTTCAAGGCCAATGCATTGATATACGACAGCATCTGCAGGAAGTTTGGCTGCGATCTGTTTGGCAAGTACATCGATCAGGTGCTCGGCTGGATAGATGCATGTGAGCCCAAATCCAGATTAGAGGAGCTATGCAAGTGTCTCTATCAACGCCTCTGGGGCGCTCTCTCCAAGCGCAACAAGACCAAGCAGTGCGCCAACATGGAGTGCGACGCAGAGGTGATAGAGACTAGCGATGGACAGAGAACGATCAAGCACATAGATATCAACGTCGACGAGGACTACTCAATCGACCGCATCACTCCAACGGCCAATGGAAGCGCGATGATCAAATCAGCATGCAACACCGACTTGTTCGACACGCCATTCGCTCGCATCATGCCATTCATCATCTCTCGTGGTCGCAAGATGATTGGAACGATAATAAAGGACGACATTGAATGCATCAAGCGCGTGCACACTGATGGATTCGTCTCAACCAAGCCCTGGGCTGTCAGGACTGGCAAGAAGTCACTCGATTTCCCAAAGATTGGAAAAGGGTGCGGTGACCTGCGCTATGAGGGCTACTGCCCCGACCAATGCTCCGATAGATCGCACCTAAGGTTGATCTTAGGTAATATAAAGATAAACATCCTAATGAGTGCATCAATACAACAGGTATAATAGATCAGTTCAGTGAACTGAACAGGTGTTTGTAGATCAAAGATAAACCTGACCTTTATTATCTTTAAATGATTGATTGATTAATTAATTATGTTGTTGTTGTGGGATTATTTGTTTGGTTGATATTGTTGGATTGTTGGATTGATTGAATGATGGTTGTTGTTGTTGTTGTTAGATTGATTGAATGATGGTTATTGGATATCCAGCTGAAGTGAGTTGATTGAACGCAATGTCATGATCTGGTCCACTGTCTCTGAAGCCATTGAGCTCCTGTTTGGGGTCACTATATCTGGTCCATCACTAAACTCTGTTTCGAGGAATGTACTCGAACATCTGATGGCAAGATGGTCTCTGGCCATGGCTGAAAGTATAGGGTACTCGTTTGCATGATTCTTCCACCATAAGTATATGTTGACAGTTGGTTTCTCGATTGGAGATCCCAAGTACAATGATAGCTCTGTCTGGGGCTGAGTCTTAATCTAATGGTACGATCAAGGTGTTAGTGATCGTGTTGCCACTACACTTTGTGCTGGGTCCGCTCGGACAACTTAATTACCTTCTCTTGCATTACATCAGACCAAACAACGTTGATTTGCTGATCAAGAAGTTCTTCCTGTGGCTGAACGATTGGGTTCTTGCGATGATACCTCTCAAAGGTSTCGGTCAGCACCGTCTTGGCCTTCTCAAGATACACTCCCCAGTCATTAAAGAAGACCAACTTGAACGTAGGATTGAGCGCTGTTGATAAATAATAGAGGTCAGGTACCTCATCACTGTTCTTGTAATATTTCTGTTGAAGAGTATCTTGGTTAAACATGCTGCTGATAAACTTCGCCACCTGCATTGCATAGCTCACTTGATACACATACCTTCAAGATAGTGAGGGCAGGATCAGCTGCCTTCTTGACAATTTCTGGATACTTGTTGGCCTTCTTCTTTGATTGCATGGCCTCAAGATGATTGAACATGTACTCAAACATAGGATAGGCGATCGAGAGGTTGGCATTGGCATGTGACACTTCCAACGTGACTCTATAGAATGGCTGCAAGACCTCAAAGAGGGTGCGCGCAAGTTCCCATTCATCCTTGCCAAGAGCGTACTCAGCGTATTCCTTTTGAGTGAAGACCCTCTCGAGGGTTGCGCGAATCGCCAATGCTCTTTCAAGGACCAAGTACTGACTGTTCCATCGTGTTACAACTATCATCTTGGGTAGCTTGATCCTGTCTTTGTTTCCAAAAGGAATATAGTCACTGCATTAATCAAGTTAGCAATGCTATGTAAGTGAGTGAATGATACACGCATGAACTTACAACTTGTAGCTCTCTCTTCTCTGGGGTGAACCTCTGATTGCAACAGCGATGCCATGCAGCTTGGAAAGAACAGTGCATGCCTCCAAACCTTTGATGAACTCCTGGACAACAAGGTTGACGATGTGGGCGGTGCATCCAATGTGGGACTCCAAGCCTTTGTAGGGAAGCTTGCGGGCATCCAATATCTCTTTCAAGGACTTGGAGAAGGTGAAGTTGTTACTGGCATTGTCACTAATGGTAGCAAGGCATCTGTCAGTGATGCAGTACCTCTGTAGTGTCCTATAGAATGCATCTGCAATGTTGAGGCCTTGGGAGATGGGTGAATGTAAAGTTAGTAACATATTCTACCTCTGCTCATTKWTCTCTCCAG